ATAGAGCCACAGCCTGCTTTTGGGACCGGCGGGGACCTCTGCTGGGAATGGGGCTGTGCTTTTGTGGTCACATGGAATCATCTTAAATGCAGGTTTCTGCCCAGGGAGGCAGTTCTGTCCCCAGCAGTACAGTCCCAAACCTCTCCTAAGCAGGCTTGGGTGTGCAACAATGTAGAGAGTTGGGAACTTGGGGGGTTTTGGCAATTTAATCCTCAGCCAGGTAAGCTCCACCTTGTCATGCAGCTGCCCAAGTGCTAGTGCTGGCATGAGGGGTAGCAGAAATGTGCTTCCTGGGGAAGGAAGCAGCGCGGGATCACAGAATGGTTGAGCTGTGAAGAGACCTCTGGAAGTCCAACCTCCTGCTCAAGTAGGGACACCTGGGCTGCCAGGGCCACGTCCGTATGGCATTTGAGTATCTCCATGGATGGAGACTCCACAGCCTCCCTTGGGCAACCTCTGCCAGGGCTCAGTCACTCAGGCAGTAGAAAAACTGTTTCATGATGCTCAGAGGGAACCTCCCGTGTTTCAGTTTGTGCCCGCTGCTTCTGGTCCTGTCACTGGGTACCACTGGGAAGAGCCTGGCTCCATCCTCTTGGCAGCCTCCCCGCAGGTATTAATATACGTTGGTGAGATCACCCTGAGCCTTCTCTTCTCCAGGCTGAGCAGTCCCAGCTCTCTCAGCCTTTCCTCATGTGTGAGGTGCTCCAGGCCCGTCATCATCTTCATGGCCCCTGTTGTGCTCTCTCCAGTATGTCCATGTCTCTCTCATCCTGGGAAGCCCAGAACTAGGCACAGTGCTCCAGGAATGACCTCGCCAGTGCGGGGTGGAGGGGAAGGATCCCCTCCCCTGTCCCGCTGGCCACGCTCCTCCTAACCTAGACCCGGACACTGGTGGGCTTTTTGTGCTGCACAGACATGTTGCTAGCTCACGTTCAACTCTGTGTTCACCAGGACCCTCAGCAGCCTTCACTACAGAGCTGCTTCCCAGTCCCCCCAGCACATACTGGTGCCTGGGATTGTTCCTCCCCAGGGGCAGGACTTTGCAATTCTCTTTGTTGAATTTCATTATGTTACTGGCAGCTCATCGCTCCAGGCCCCTCACTTGATGTTTCTCCTTGTGCTCCGCTCTTGGTAGCTGCTCACATTTGTACCTGCTCAAGCTGTTCGGGTCACCAAGATTTCCTCATTCTAACCAGGACTGTTGAAGTATTGAAACCAAAAGCTGTTGCAATATTGTGTGTATGTTTACAGCCCCATTCCCACTGTCATGCCAAATTCGGCATGAGCAGTATGGCTTTGCAAACTGATTGTGCAAAACCTGTTGAGAATCTACCACATCATGTCTTTCTGCCTCAGGTGCCAACTGTTGCCAGAGCTTTGCCAATGCTTGCCTTGTAATGTAGTTCCCATTATTATTATTATTATTACTATACTAATCTGATGCTAGATTTTAAAATGCTAAATAGTGACATGATAATGTCATATTTGCTCAGGGGGAAAAAAAAAGTCAACGTGATTCTTGCACAATTGTACCAGCTTTCTGCTTTTCTGTAATAAATGGCTTTTTCTGATCTTGGGATCTCTCGAGTTTGTGGTGGCTGGTGTTCCAGATCTGAAAAGGCAAGGGCCTTGCAATAACTGCAGGGACCACTGAGGAATTCCCATCACAGCTAATGGGCTGAGAAGGAGGAAGATCTAAATCCTGCTGTTACCCCAGATCTGGGCTCTTTATGCAGCATGTGATGACCAGTTTGCCCACCGAGCCAAGGCATTTGCTTTTATTTCCTTTCCGTGCAGGAATGGGCGCGAGGTGGTAACCCCACAAAGCTACCACTACATTCCAAAGAGCTACCACCTATGTATCCTCTTACCTGAATAAAGCAAGCCACCTAAGCTCATATCTGTTGGCTAGCGATCACTGTAACCTTTGCTATCGGTTAGTTATATTTAAAATAGCCTCGCTTGCTGGGTAAATTAGCACACATGCTCCTTGTTGGGGTGTGTGTGTGTGAGTCTCTTCGGGTTTGATTTGAGTCGGTGGTCGCCACGTCCCCTCACCGCCTTTGCCTTTCCCTGAGATACTGCAGATCTTCGCTGACCTCGTGCCTCTCCAGCAATTACCCAGCCTCTGGCTGGGCCTTCCGAGTTGTGATGTTCCCCTTTGGCTGGCCTGTTAGCTCCTCTTCGGGGGTGCAGGCACCAGTTCTCGTGTGCTCAGGCAAACACTCCCTTATCCCTTAGTGCCTTCTAACTGCCAGCTCCTGTTACACGTGATTCCTTATTCCCACTCTGTGAGAAATTCCACTTTCTGAGGCATGCCGCTCCTGGGTTTTGCACTTCAGGCCGTTAGTGTGCCAGCATAATGTTGGCACTGCAGCACACGGAAGCGAATTTTGCACTCCTGCAGTATTTAAACTTGCCTTAGAATCATAGAATCGCTTTGGTTGGAAAAGACCTTTAAGATCATCAAGTCCAACCTTTAACCTAACCCTGCCATCCCACCACTAAACCATGTCCCTAAGCACCTCATCTATCCTTCTTTTAAATACCTCCAAGGATGGGGACTCTACCACCTCCCTGGGCCTTGACTCAAACATTCCCCGAGCAGCAGTGGGGAAGCAGCTCCCAGCCCAGCATCCCAGGGGAGTCCCAGCTGGCGGAGCTGGGTGGCAGGGCAGGCTGCCAGAGCCCTCGGGCATGCCAACCTTGCGGGCAGTGACTCCAAAGAGGGCCATGGGGCAACCAGGTTGCTGGAGGTGTCAGAGTACACCTCAGGGCTGGCTCTGGGGAAGGAACCAGAGAAGCAGAGATGCTGGCTGAGGAGATGGTGCACAAGGAGGAAGGGACACCTCTTTGAGCAAAAGGGTGGTGTGTGGATCTCTGGGATGTTTCCACAGGGCCCCTCACCGGAGGAGGCACGGCCGGGAAGGGACAGGGAAGGCAGGAGAACCCGTGGCAGTGGGCAGGCAGCAGCAAAATGGCCGCTGAGGTGCAGTGTGGGGGACAGGGGCTGCAAGGCCCCGGCCGAGGCTGAGGGTGTCCTCCCTCCCCCGGGCAGCCAAACACTAAAATGTCAGGGAAGAGTAGGAAAGGGGTAGGGAATAAAGCAGAGAAAGGGGCAGGTTCGCAGTTGGCTCCCCACAGGCTTTGGCCCGGAGCCCCATGCCCGGGGCGCTGGGGGCACCACAGCACACCCTTTCCCCTCAGGGGCTGCAAGGCCCCGGCCGAGGCTGAGGGTGTCCTCCCTCCCCCGGGCAGCCAAACACTAAAATGTCAGGGAAGAGTAGGAAAGGGGTAGGGAATAAAGCAGAGAAAGGGGCAGGTTCGCAGTTGGCTCCCCACAGGCTTTGGCCCGGAGCCCCATGCCCGGGGCGCTGGGGGCACCACAGCACACCCTTTCCCCTCAGCATCGCCACCAGGCTGTCGGGATAGTGGGGGGAGCCTCACGCGGAGCCATGTGGGAGCCGCCCATCCCGGAGGCCGCGGGGGCCCTCGCACGGGGG